CATAAAACGCCGGATTCGATTTGGTTTTTCGTCCTGAATCGAGAAAAATACGTCTGTGCGATTTCATGACAACGACGTGGTAGATCGGTATTCTTCAACTTTTTCGAATTGAATCGTCGAAAAAAACGAGAGCCGTGACGAACGTGGTCGATGAGTGACTGCTGTGCTTAAGCTATTTGTAGATTTTAATCAACTGCCTAAAAAAAGTAATTGATACTGGAATTGTTATTTGTTATGACCTATGATTGATTATTACTTGGATTGATTGTACATATAAAATTATAAAGTTACGATTTTTTTTACGAAAGCCAAGTACATACAACCAAGAGTTACATATTAGTTCGAACATAGAACTTTGAAACCTTTCTTCAATATATTGTAATAAGCAAGTTAGCATGGCAAAACTATGCAAGCAAATTCTATATTTACCATCAGCATATGAATGAATAGCGGGTTGTCAGAAGATGGAAAGTTGTGAAAGAATCGATGCACTGTAGATTTCAAATTCCGCCGAGTGTATACAAAAATTGAGGAGCAAATTCTGTCAACTGATTATGATAAAATCGATGTTGGCAATTTGGTAAATCGCTTAACTTTTTTTCTGACATTTTATTATGCAAAATAACCAAAAGTAAGCGTATATCTACTAGGCGTTGAAATGTAATTTTTTCCAACTTTTATATAGATTTAGACTAAAGGATAAAATATTATAGAAAAATGTAATTGAAAGGAACAACAACAGAAAAAATGTATAAAAAAAATTGCATACAAATTTAGTTACAGCAAAATTCTTTCGCAATTATTCACAATCGCAACACACTTGAATAAAGATAAACAAACTATGTTGTATTTTTTGCATTCGCATGAATAAGTAGGTATGAGAATCTGACTTGACAAGGATTAATTCCAGATTTCTTCAGAGGTGCTTTTGCAATTTTTTGTTTAGGATACAAGGACGTTTTTTTTAGGGCCGAATTTATAGTGGTTCCTTGAGTTTTCCTTGTAGGTCGTGAGTTTAGAATGGATATATACTACATATTTGAAAAGTTGGTCATGTCAATTCTAAACGTTCAAAGCTTCCTTGAGGACTGAGGAAACCTCAAGGAGCGACTATAAATTCGGCCCTCAGTCCCTACTCATCAGATTGTATAAAATCAATAGGTAGGCAGTGGTTCGGAAGGATATCTGTAGATGTTGATTTGAGCTAGAACCCTCAAGCAATTGAGACATATTGATTTAGCCGATACTTGATGGATATCCATTAGAAATTTTGGAAGGAAACTAAACAGTTTTCCGAAAGGATGGAAAGGAATTCTGTCTGAAGAAGACACCATCTGCTGAAACATGTTAATGGCATCATAAAGATACTAAGTTTTTTGTTTCGTTCCAAATGCAAGTATATTACTTCGGAAGTACACATAACTTTTCGAGATCTTAAAATTTTCCAAGATATCAACAATCATCGTCAAAAGACACATTGGCAATTCTTCCTATTATCGAAGCGCGTAGGTGTATTGGTGTATAGCAATTAGTTGGTAAGAGAGTATGTAGTTATGCAATTCTGGCAAAATATTGCAGATATTAGCATAGGATTATGCCGGTAAATGACAACCAAGATCTTTTTTTTACACGAACTATCGAATCATACAGCTTGACAACTGATTTCAGAACTTTGGTTTTTTGCTGCGTGGAAAATAGGGCAAAACATCCTTGCATCTGGCTCTAAGTGATTCAGATCCCCAGCATATTTTTTTTTGAGTGGATTCGGGATTCACTGAGGTTGGAATTGTGCCGTACAATCATCTGGAGTTAGGGAAATCGCTACAGTTGGCGACATCAGGACATTGCAGTAAAATTACAATCAATAAATAATACCTATAAGGGAAACCATCAATTAGTAATGCATCGTCATCATTCATATCCGTTTCTATTCTATACTGAGTTCTCATGTAGTTCTATACTGAGTTCTCATGTATTTCTATTCTGAGCTACTAGCACCATTCGGGACTTTTTCTGGGTCATCGAATCCGTCGCAAACGTAGAGCTTCATTACCTTCTCCAACTTGAGTGTGCTATGTCCGTTACGCAGGTGCATAGAAATTTGTGTCATATTTGTGAAGTCACTGGAAATTATAACTTTTTTACATTTCCAAGATGTCAGAGGTAACACGTCCTGTAGGGCCGCTTAGATTCGGATTTAATTTTTCAAGAGGAGTCACTTATCATTTCAAGCACAAAAAAAAAGTTCAAGGATTTATATGCTTAGAGAATTGATATTGCTGACGATAATTCACTAGACTTCTACAGGTATGACAATGGAGGAATCATTGCTAATCCACCTGATGTGCTATAGTGCGCTGATGTTGGGAAAAAAGCGGCAAGATATATTTTTCCATACAAACGCTTATAAACCTTCGAAGCCAAAATGGCATGATTCTTTTTTATATTTATTAGTATTTGAAACTTTGTCGGACCACCAATAACAGAAAAGTCCACGTCCGCTATAACTTTATGCCGTCCGGTCCGGCGAATTCAATACATTGAATTTTTACCCCTTGTTCGTTCGTCTTTTGCATTGACTAAAGAAGCAGCCATCGCCATCCTACGGCAGATTCCTGCCGCAACAGCAGCAGGCAAATAAGGCCCTGCTGCTGGCGGCTCTCATTGTGGCGGCATTTTCTTTTGATCTTACCGCGACCGCGCTTATCTTCAATTGCTACTGTTTATCCACAAAGAACCGCTCTTTAGCATTTTTTCGTATTTTTTGACTTTTTTCATCTCGATTCTCAGCCTTTTATTTTGTCTTTTTTTTTATCGGAGACAATTTATGGGCTTTTAGGTTTATGCAGGAATAGGTAACGGCGACTTGTTACACCTTTGCGATTCTGGTGGAAATCATAATATTTTATAATTATATTTTTCCTACAAATATGTTAACTTTGTCACAAGATTCAAATGTTCCACGATAGATCATATTTTTGACGAATGGATCAGATGTGAAGGATAAGACTGGTCGCTTGGTGAATGAAGTCTAAACTAAAACCTGAGCAGTGGAAAAGTTATTTCCAGAATGTGAACCCGCACGATAAATTATGCAATACATAACTACATATGAAAAAAATTGAGTTATCGAATTATGAAGATTGAAATTTTGATAGTATGTTGGAAGACTTTTGGACATGGCGCCATCTAAGACTAGACTAGTGATGGCAGGGGCGTAGTCACCGGTGTTCCGCGTGTTCCACGGAACACGGGCCCGGTACGTCAAGGGGCCCGGTTCTAGATGTCAATATTATTTTTAAAATACATTTTTCACATTTGAAGCTAATTTATATTAAAATAAAAAATAATACCTATATCTACAGGGGGTCCCCCCGTTCAACTTGTCAAAAATGCTAGGGTATATAGAGGAACCATAAAGAAGTAGTTTGAGATTGGATACCGAGTGTCGGAAGTGCGTCACTTCCAAAATACAGGGTGTTGAAATTTAAACAACCCCCTTTCATATCATCTGAAGGGCTAATGCTAAGCTGTTCAAATTTTCACGGATTAAGAATTCGTATATTCCACCCCCATTTTCTACCTCAAACCACCCAAAAAAAAAATTATTGAAAAAAATTGCTTTTTTTTTCAATAACTCGCTATGGATCCTCAATATACCCTAGCATTTTTGACCAGTTGAACGGGGACACCCTGTATATCTACGTAGGTAAAGTCTAAACTCTAAAGAGTCTAAAGTCTTCTTTTCTTACCGATCCACTCCATAGTATGCCAGGATTGCCAGGTATGCCAATTCAAGATCCTGCAATCCCTGCGTTGTGGTTTGTTGTGCTGCCCTCTAATGAGTTAAGCTTTAACATTAAGGGCCGGTTTCTCAATAGTGAGTCACCTCATCCGGGTTGGTTTTAAGTCCAGGGTAAGCGTGTGAAGTTGCAATGTTTACCCTGGAGTTATGTCTAACCCGGAGGTAACTTGCTACTGAGAAACCGGCCCTTAGGGTATTTTTGGCATTATAAAAAAATTGGTTTGAAAAAATCTCAAGCAAAAAAAAACAAAATCGACGTGTCCGAGCTTCCATACTTTAGGTTCACCCTGTATATTTAAAAATAAAATATACATTTCTTTGATTTTTCAATTTTTTTTATCTCGCAGGAGTAGGGGCCCCGTAAAATTTTTGAGCACGGGCCCGGAGCATCGTCACTACGCCACTGAGTGATGGAAAAGCGAGGAAAATTAACCCACATTTTCACATTCTGAAATTTTAATTTTGAGAAAAGTTGGAAGGCCTCCTGCCGAGCAGCATTACCCAGCTTTCTCTGCTTCATTCGCAACCACGATAATCGGCGCTTTCTGGAGGAATTTACATGCTGGCAGAAAAAGACAGATTTCACACCACATTCTGACTTGTTTGTAAAAATTAAGGAAAACCTGCTGATATTCTAAAAATTCTTTGAATAGTCAGATCGATTATTTAAATACTTATTCGCGCTACCATATCAATCAAAGACAAGCGTCAGGCTTTACTGCACACAATCCGTAATCCACCAGTAGCCATATACCGATTTTTCCACCTCAAAATTACGATAAATTACAGAGTGTTCCACTATGTAAATACACTTTAGCCAAGAATGTGGCAAATAGCGGTAATTTTAAAAGTTTAACGTTAGAGGAAAGAAAAATCCGAAAATAGCGGTGTAAGCATGCATGCAAAATTATAATCCTTTACCGTCGTAGGCAGAAAGATAGAATACACCGATTAGTAATGCATTTTGCCCGATCTTATCACTGAGTCGGTCTGGTAGCTGCGTTTATTCGTTGATTCTAATAGTTGTATATCTTATCTTTCAGATAGATTTTTGCATCTTGTGTATGCTTAAAGGCTTTTGCCTGTTTCATACACTTATGTCAGTTATATCTTTATGTTATAAGACGACATTATTGTGTACAAATTCTTTGATACACCAGGTACACATTTTTCTTATAATTTTTTCTTTTTTCAGATTCGACATCGATTTGGTTGCTACGATGAAGTATCCAACAGTAACGGTCATAGCGTCCGGCATTGTAACTGGGTGAGATTCGTCCGAGTAGCTTCAGCTTTCAATCCTTCAGTCAACTTTGTCGCTACCAAAGTGCGAGGCGAACCAGTTTACGAAGCAGTGAAACCGATTTCACCTGACACCGAATTGTTGGTATACTATTTGCCAGAAAGACCCGAAGAATTGTTTTTTGTCAGGATGAGGGCTAGTTTGTACAGACAGACGATGGATTCCATATTAGAGGGTAATTAAAATCAATACTGATTATATAGGTCGATTTCAAGATGAGGTGACCATACAGGGTAGTCCATTCAACTTGAAACAGTCTAATATTACGGAAATGAAAAAAGTTGAAATAGAAGTTTCCGAAATCAAAAATCAGTGCTACCATTTTCATCAACGCGCCCTTTTTAGATATTAGAGTGTCTCAAGTTAAATGGACCACCCTGTATACTTATTAATTACCAAAAATCTCACCGGAATGTTTGAAAAGCAAGTCTCATTCCTTGGACTTGAAGGTCGCTTCCAGTTCATCAACCTTGCATCCAGGTTTCCCATAGGTTTTTGGATACAGATCTTAACGTTTGTTGGGTGTTGCCAAATTTAAGAGCAATGATTATTGTGATTCTCTGTACATGAAAAAGCAAAAATTCTATTTTATCAGAAATAAAAATAAAAAAGATGTAGGTAATTAAAAACCTCTTTTAGAAATTGGAAGCTTCCATTGAACCATGAACACAAAGAGAAAACAAAAACAAGAGACGATCACACAATCAAAGCAACCTAAAAAGAACAATGGATAACTTGATTGGCGATCCTGACAGATTTATTGAACATTTTGCACAATTTAGCATTTTCAGCGGGCTTAATCAGCTAAAGCGATGGTACTGTCTTAGAATTTGTATTCAATGGATAAAGATGCGATTGATTTATTTTCTTAGCTTTAGTTCTAATATGGGACCCTGCTGTTGATTCTCATTAGTCAGTTAATTAATATGCAGATCCAGTAGAGGCTTTAAATATATCTGCTAGTTTAAAAAAAAAAAGAAGGTTGACAGTTTTATTTATTTCTGTCCAATTAATTCATGAAAAATTAAATAACACATAGTTAGGATAGAAAAATAACTGATTTAAATCAATCTGTTCCAGACTCACCCTTAGATCTCTCCATGTCTCTTCTCTCCAGAGCATTGTCAAGTTCTCCCCCATCCGAACACGATGAAAGAAAATCAGTTTCGGGTGATTCATCAGCAGCTTCTTCACAGGGGGATCTTCCAGAGACCACAGTACCTACACCTAGAGCGAGGCCTAGGGAACGAACTTTACTTCCATGTGGAGTCTGTAGTAAAGCTTTTGACAGGCCCTCGTTGTTGAAAAGACATATGAGGACACATACAGGTAAGACTTTAGAAGATTACACTTCCGATCCGATGATGAAATTCTGTTAAAACTTTAGGAGAGTGACTGATTCACTCTGTTTTCACAATAAAGTAGAGGCTTCAATACTTTCTCAGCCTTGCATAACCGAACTTTCTTGTACTTCCTCTGCACTGGTTGGTTTCTCCATTACTGTAGAAATACAATACGAAACAAAAATTTCCAGTCGATTTTAGAAGGAAATAGAGAAATTCTTGAAAATTATCCCTATTATCGCCCCCAGGTCCGACAATATAAACAACTGGGCTGGAACTCTGTATCTGTAATGAATAGCGATCAATATCTCTATTGATTTTGATGAGACAGAAGAAGACGGCAAGTGCCATAGCGAGGAGAATAACGATCTCTATTCGTCACATAGCAGCCCTGGTTTCATCTATTTCAATTCCAAGTTTTCAGATTTTCATCTAAAAATGTTTCTGCATACTTTCCGAAGCTTTAGATCGCTTTTCCCGACTAAAGCAAACTAATCAAAACTACCTCCCAAATGTTGTATAAAAACTTCCTCTATTAGATATGTGATGAATATTCCCCGTCGACCCCGTCGTACTTCCTCAAACTTTTACATTATTCCCCTCAGTTTATGATAATCATATTAATCGTGTAATTTTTTTTATAATGGGCATATCAAAAGGCGACAAATGCACCAGTTAGTAAATGTAACGACCGTAAATTCTAGAGTGATTTAGTTAGAGCAAAATGTTTTGGTTTTTTCTCTGTTCTATAATACATATCTTTGAAATTATTTCAGGTGAAAAACCACACGTGTGCATGGTCTGTGGAAAGGGATTCAGCACATCATCGTCACTTAATACGCACAGGCGGATTCACAGTGGCGAGAAACCCCATCAATGTCCTGTATGTCTGAAGAGGTTCACAGCGTCTAGCAATCTTTACTATCATCGTATGACACATATCAAGGTAAAAATTAACAATTTTATATATTTCATAGCATATAGGTGTATTTTTTAAATGATACTTGAAATTATATAGCAATTATCTAGATTACGATTTTCTTGAAAATACCAAGCGAGTTTGACTTCGTATCAATTTTATTTCTTTTGATAGGTTTAAATTTGTTAAGCTAATTAGGGCCGATTTATTCGCCTTCTGATAAACTGTCACTGTCAGGTATGCAATCTGACGGATAAAAACGGAATCTGTAATCCCATTGGTCGGCCAGTTATAACCAATAGAATTATTGAAAGGTAAATTTATATCTTACAGATAGTTATCAGCAAGTTTATCTGACTATGAATAAACCGGGCCCTATAGTCTACTTGATACATCAGATAAGTTCTTTTTTTTTTTTTTTTTTTTTTTTTTTTTTTACGGATATGCGCACTCGCAAGGAAATGTCCTATCACGCTCGAGAAGCGGCAAGTGCGCGGAAATGTCGGTGTATGTTGGTCTTGAAACGGTTCAGGTTGTAACCTGCAGGGAAAACCGTCGCAGGGAGTTTATTCCACAGCGATGCTGTTCTCCAGAGATATGAATTCTGATATAATGAGGTTCTTGGTGCCTCTAGTTTGACAGTAAATTCATGGTTACCGTCTGTTTGACGGGTTCGCCTGGCAGGCGCTACTCTCGGTGGAATCATACGTGCCAACTCTTCAGAGCATTTTCCGTGATAGTACCTGTAGAAGAGAGATAAATCGCCCACAGATCTGCGATGTTCGAGACCATCCAAGTTACGAGTAAGTGCGGGGTCATTGATCAGCTTGATAGCTCGTTTTTGCACGGTGTTCAAAAGCATTAAGGTATGTTTGGGTGCTGCACTCCATATATGTGAGCAGTACTCCATAGTTGGTCGAATCTGGGCTTTGTAGAGTGTCAGCAATTGGCTTGGTGTGTACAGATGTCTTGTACGAAATAGCACCCCCAGCTTTTGGGACGCCCTTTTAGCAATATCTGCCACGTGATTGTGCCAAGACATGTTGGTCTCTGCAGTAACCCCCAAGATGTTCAACTGACTCTGTAATGTGACAGCACTTCCAGATAGCATGATGTTTGGCTCACCGGTGCTGTTCTTTTTTGAAAACAGAGCTGCTTGGGTTTTCTGTGCGTTGAACTGTACAAGGTTTTTGTTACCCCAGTCCTCTATTATCTCCAGGTCGTTATTTATCTGCGATATTTGAGTTAGTCTAAGATGATGGAATTCACGTGCGGAAAGACCTGTGGGTGGTATGAGTGAGGAGACTACATTGCCATCGTCTGCAAAGCAATAAAGTGGATTTACTGTTTTATCTATGAGGTCATTTATGTAAATCAGAAAAAGAGTTGGCGAAAGGATTGCTCCCTGTGGCACACCAGCATTTATTTGGTAAGAGTTGGAGTTCTGGCCATCCAGTGCAACATAAATGGATCTGTCCTTGAGGTAACTTTCAAACCAAGTGCAAAGTTTCGGCGATAATCCCATTGCTTTGAGCTTGTTGAGCAGATTTTCATGCCAAACTTTGTCGAATGCTTTAGATATATCTAAGGCAATTGTTCTTGTTTCACCCCGCAACTCAATCGCTTTTTGCCATAAGTGAGTGACGTATGTAAGTAAATCGCCAGTTGACCTATATTTTCGAAATCCGTATTGCTTATCGTTGATAATTTTGTACTTTTCCAAGTACTTGGTTAGGTGATTGTTCACAACTCTTTCCATTACTTTTGATATCACCGGAAGTAGAGGAATTGGTCTATAGTTTAACGGATCTGTCTTTTTTCCTTTCTTTGGAATGGGTTGTACTGCGGCAGACTTCCATGATGATGGATATACTCCTTGCCTGTAAGACAAATTGAATAATTTTGCGAAAGTTGGGGTGAGTTCGTTGGCGCAATTTTTGAGTACTATTGGGGGAATGCCATCCGGACCCATTGCTTTGTTTGTATCCAGGTTTTTAAGAGATTTTCGTATTTCTCTGTGACAAAAGGGTACCTCTGGCATACTGGCATTTTTAAATTAATATAATGCAGGCAGAAGATATATAAAAAAGTCTATACAATCACATTGGCTTTTCAAAACTCCTTTGCCTCTTAGAAGCAAAGGAACTAAAAATAAAGTTTAATGATGCAGCAAAAATTGGGCTTTTCAACACAAGAACTGTTTTTTTTTTTAATAACCCTCGATTTTTTGATTTGCTACCTGCTTCAACCATCTTTCCAAACTATTTTTTTTTAGGAATTTTATCATTCTAGTAGATTTTTGTATTCTCAGTTGTATTAATTGTATGTAGGTAGGTACCTATCAAAAGCATCCATGTTCGAAATGTGTAATCAAAAAATAAACAAAATCAGTTATAAAAAGCTCTGCCTATGGCAAATCTTCCATTTGACCGGTTTCTTCAGTTTATTTTCGTGGGAAAAAAAATTCAAACGGTTCATATATTATTTCGATAAACATATTATCTGTGACAAAACCACACAAAGGCCTGAACTTCTTATGCTGACACACGGAAGTCGCTCAAGTTGAACGACTTCGAAGTAACAAAGTATAACGTTCGACATTCTTGAAAAAAAAAGTACAAGGGGTTATAAAAAGGTTTGCACTTTTTAGGGTTCCGTATATAAGATCATTTGAATAAATTAAACATTTATAGAAACACTTTTTATGTCCTTCCAATATGGCGAACGACATGACATCAGCAAAAAATTTGGTGCTGATTTGAGATTCAATGAAATGAAAATTGCTACCGGTTAGGCCCGTTATGTAGGTATCATTTTTTTTTAATTTTCAGCATTAATTTGTCAGCTTCATTTTTAATTTCAATAACCTAAAACCGTAAATCGTTTGGGTCAAGTTATAGCTTCAGTTTTTCTTTTACAAATATATCAGCCCCTGTATAATTAAATTACATACAAAAAGATTGACTCAAGGTCGCAATATAGAATTGATGACATATTCGACCTGTAAAGGGCAAACCTAAAACAGACAATAAGACGTCCCCTCGCTTGACTCTTGAACCATGAACTCTTAAAGAAGTTCACACGAAGTTCAGTCGGCGTGGAACCACCCAGTGCCCCACTTAATCGGTTTTCTGAATTTAAATCACTAATTATGGTCTGGGGCATGAAAACAAGTGCGGTGCATCCGTGGTCCTTATGGGAAAAAAAAGCCGAGACGTTACTCTTATCTTGATAAAACCAGCTAATGTGGGTAATGCGCCTAATTTTTTTTTGTAATTCCCTCATAAATCTTTAGTGGGCATACAGGGATTTCAAAATAAAAGTGATGTTGACGACGCAGCAATGTCATCTCAAAGATACTTACGCGGATCAGAAAAAAATGACAAAAAAATTTGTCTCGCCTTGAAGGATTTAATCAAGTCAAGTCCTTCATTTAAGAGATTATGTTTATCAAAGATAAATGTCACGCACCTGTCATCTGTGATGGTAATGCTATTACATCGGATATTAAGCGCTAAAGACGTTTAAAGTGGAACATGTTGGATCTTATATTTTTTTCAATGTGACTTATAAATCAGGCTTCGGGAGGATCATTGTAAATCTTATGAACGAGCGCGTTTGATATTTATAATACAAAATTAATAATTTATCAGCGAACAAGTAACTAAAGTCAAACGTAGTCTAATGAAATGGATCGTTTGCTATGATTCAAAGAAAAAAATCCTTGGATGTATATTTCAAACATAATAGACAGTCTGTTGCGTGTGAAACTTATCGTTGCCAAATTCGTAGTTGCGGAAATTTTGCAATTTTGGCAACACTGTGTATGAGGACCCCATAACCTCCAAATATGAATTATCATTCTGACAAAAAGCCTTTCAATCGCTTTGAGAATTTGAAACTAAAACTATTTGTTTATACTAGTCACAATTAACGTTTTTTCATTTTGTACCAGAAATAATGGGGTTGAGATCAGTTTGATAATCAGCATAGTTTTTGGAATGAGGCCTAAGAGACCAGGAATAATCTAAAAGAGTTTTTTGGTGATTCTAGAAGACATTCGCCTCACTGCCGCTGTGTTTAGATAAATACGATTCTAATGAAAAAGGAATTAAAATCTCAAAAAAAAAAACAAACAGTCACTCAACGGAATCTGATCCGGTGCACTACCTGCTGTTATCCTACGTCAACTTTTTGACAAATCTGATCATTTAGGCACTAATTCACCCTTTTCATCGACCCAGTGACGTCTCATTGTACCAAATGGGGCTTCCATATGCCCCATTGGATGTGACTTAGGAAAAAAGCGGAATTATTGTAATTATGATGTAACACATGGCCTGCGCCCGTTTTAGGTACCTTCGTCGGTCGTAACATACAAGGTAGATTATGGCGGGATTTTTTTTTATATGTGAAGGACTGGTGGAACCGATGGGTTGATGGGTATAAGATAGGAAGCACCTGCTAGTGAGGCATTTGTAAGTCATATAGGGTAAATCGAGGGGTAAATAGAAACTGAATCAAAAAATAACGAACAATATAAATCAAGAATTATATTGCAGAAGTCAACTTAGATAGTTACCAGATTTCCATAATCACTTATAAAGCATTTTGGTTCTATAAAAGCTTGGCTATTTTTGCCTCATTTTAGTCAATCTAAGAGATATATTATGGGCTCAACTGGAGCAATATTTACAATTTTTAGATTCTCTTTATTGCAAACAAGTTTCGAATCATATTCAATAATACTACCCAATTTGCAAATAAAATAGAATTATCAAAATCAATCAATAAAAATTCCATAGTTAGTGACGCTGATATCATCTAATTGAAGTTAAGTATTCTGAGGTACAAAGGAAGGTACGATATCTTCTAAACTACACACGAAAATTTAATTTACCTTACAAGAAATTCACTATGTTTTACCATGTCTCCTGTAGCAGGTGAGTGAAATCCTAATTAATTAAAAAGGCAAACGAACAAACTTCATCCTGTTTAAAAGCAAAATCGGCCTATCCGTTTTATTT